AATCCTAAATTTAAAAAAAATCAAATTTGTGATTTTGCTCATAAACTTAATGGTTTATCACAGGCAAAAATGTATAGTTTGACCCTGCTGAAATTTAAATTATTTGCTCTATTAGAAGATAGTGATTATGTTTTCTCACAGAACTAAAATACTACTTAAGTACTAAAAGTGCTCATAATTTTCTTGAGCTGTGTCATTGTTAGAGACAAACCTGGGTTCTCATGGCTAGACCCAGCTGCAGAGTCCCCTGCAGGGGCTAGGCTGGGAACAGAACCAATGTATCCCATAGTACTATCAAAAACGATGACAATAGTGTTTGATAACAGCATCCCATTGTCATAAATGATAGGAAACACTGTTACTATCCATTTACTTTTTCTCATGAAACCATGTGATTTACTTTAGTAGAAGATAAATCAACAATAAATCAACCATACTGAAGCATTAGCAAATATTAACATCTGGGTTATTTTGAATACATCCTTTGTGAAACCCTTTTCTCTCCAGTGTAGTAAATTCCTGGTTAAGGTAGTTGTTTAACTTGTCAAGGTGATTTGAATAGTTATAGACACAATGGAAATAATATTTTTTTCCTTAGGAATATTGTGCATGTACTCACTGTGCTAGATACTATGTGCTAGAGTTTAATAAAACATCTGGGATTTTCTAATTTTTTGTAAAAGTAAGTGTGTTTTTCTACCACAGTATTGAAAATTCTATGGGATAAAAGTTTGGGTAGGTGAAAAAAATAAGAATAAAATCAATATATAGTTCATTAAATATGAAATGTTTGATTTCAAATCAAAAGTATAGTTTATTATATCTCAAACAAGAAGCAGTACAAATAATCAAAGTATATGCCTAAAATATTAACACAGTTTTGCCATCTTGATGGTAGCTTGTTTATGCCAGCAGCAAAGAAGCCTGGAGAGAGAGTGGCAATGAAATTGAGAAAGATGTTTTCCACAGGTTGTTGAGAATTGAATATTTTTCATAGCAAGAAGTGGTCCAAAGCCTGGAAGAAGTGGTAGTCAGTTGGTGCAAGGTCTGGTGAATATGGTGGATGACAGAGAGTTTCCAAGTCCAGCTTCTGTAGTGTGAGCAGCTTTGTTTGTGTAACATGTGGTTGAGTGTTGCCTTACAAGAGGATTGGCCTGTCTCTATTGACCAATCTCAGCTGCTTAATTGCAAGCATCCTCATCATTTCATCCAACTGTTGCAGTAGACATCTGCTGTAATCGATTGACCAAGTTTCATGAAGCTGTAGTGGATAATATCAGTGCTGGACCACCAAACAGGACACCCTTAGCTTTTTTTGATGAATATTCAGTTTTAGATTGTATTTCTGCACTTCATCTTTATCCAACCATTGTGCCAAACACTTGCAATTGTCAAAAAGAATCTGTTTTTCATCACACATAACAATATGGTGTAGAAATGGTTCACCTTTATGTTGTGATAGCAAAGAAAAAGGCAAACTTTGAGATGATTTTTCTTTTTCATGCTTGTTTGATTCATGCAGAACCCATCTATCCAGCTTCTTTACCTTGCCGATTTGTTTCAAATGGTCCAATATTGTTGGAATAGTAACGTCAAACCTTGATGCTCATTCACGCATATGTTGAGATCAATTTGCTTCCACTATAGCTTTCAGCTCATCATTATCCACCTTGGTCTCAGGTTGCCCCTGTGGCTCATTCTCAAGATGCAAATCACCAGAATGGAATTTCTCAAACCATTGGCCTACTGTGCATTCATTAGCCACATCCTTCCCAAACACTTTGTTGATATTTCAAGCTGTCTGCGCTGCATTTGTTCCATGACAGAACTCATATTCGAAAATATATGACTTATCCATGGTTTCACAAAAATTGTTCTAAAAAAAAACTTTGAAAGATAATCACAAGCCACAACGTGCGTTTGAAAGACTAAGGATGTACCTTTACAGTAAAAATAAAATAAGACATGTCAAAGTGAAATGTCAGAGATATCAACTATCAAACTTAGTACTGAAGGAAATCAGACATTTCATACTTAATACAGTTTATCAATAAGAATATTACTCATCCGAGTTGCAGTTTATTTCACTAGTCAGTCAAGAAGCCTAGAAGAGATTCACGATAATGGAAGTTTCCTAGCCTCAGTCATTTGGTCCATTCTCTAAATTATACTCCTGGACAATGTGGTCCTTTGACTTGCATCCTGCAAGAGAAGCATTGGGGAAACTGAGTCCATGACATTAACAATTAAATTTTGTTCCTGTCAAGGTCAGAGTGTGTAGAGGAGATCCATTTTGGCATCCAGCCACTTTGGGAAGGTCAACACCACTTACTTATCTGATTGACATTTACCCTCAAACAGATGAACTCAGAAGCCTTAAGGCTGAGCTCCAGGAGGACTTAAGTACTGGTAAAAACAAAGTGAAATTGTTTGGGAGCTCCCTTTCTGAATGCATTTTTTCCCCCAGTCATATCTATGTTATGAGTTTAAACTTCTCTGATCAGATTTGGAAGGCATGGGAAATATTGATTAAATCTTAAAATGCCTCAAGAGATTGAACACCAACTCAAAGCTAAAGTTCCAGAATAAAATGCTTTCTGTGTTTTGCTTACTGAGATTTTCATTTGTCTGGTATTTCCTGTCTTGTTAGTAGGAATTCTACTGGTTCTATCACCATTCCATCCCTCATTTGCATACCCCTGTGCACTTGTGTCCAAATTATGAAAAAGTTTTAAGATGTTTAAAATGAAAAAAAAAATCTTAAATAAAAAAGTTGAAAAAATTAAAACATAAAACCAAAAGAAAAACAAATACAAGAAATAAACTATACAAATACAGAAGGGTAGACATTGCCAAGGAAATGTGAGGTGTCTCATGACAAAGAAAGAAAATGTGATGGAGATTGGGAATACAGAGTTTCTGTTTGGGGGGCTGAAATATTTTTGAAATGTATAGAGGTGATGGTTGCACAACATTGTCAATGTAATTAATCCCACTGAATTGTACTCTTAAAAATGGTTAAAATGGCAAATTTTATGTTATATATATTTTACCACAATTAAAAAACTCCAATAATGTAATATAACAAATACCATTGAATTGTACACTTTAAACAGGTGAGTTTTAATGAATGTGAATTATCTTTCCATAAAGCTGTTAAAGAAATGTCATAGAGAAGAAGAGGATGAAGCCTGCTAAAGAGAAAGGCCACAGGCAACGTGTTAGAGTCGTAGTCTTTAAGTTTTCATTTTTCAGAATTTGATTTATATGCTTCTTCCTACATAGTCCTATACTTCCCTGGCAGGTGTCTCATTTTAATCTATATTGGGAGAAAACAGGATGGCAAACTATTGTAGCTGTTGGCACATGAATCTTACTTGGTTTTAGCTTTGTGGCTTCTAGAAACTTTGGCTTTTCCTTCCAATCTTTAAAAGAATCGTGCTGATCAGTGGCAGGTGGTCCTTTTGATTCCTTATCAAGATGGCAATTTGGACAGCAATAGAAATCCAGTAAGAAAGGTACCCCTGATTAGTCATGTTTTTTACAAGGTTGTCCCAAATTCTGACAACACGTAGAAAAGAAAATAGCTAGTGACAATTGCCTTCATTAGAGAATGCGACGTCTAGTTATCTGCTAAAAATGTTACCAGTGATTATGACTTGTGAATTCCACACAATGAAATCTCATACTTCTGCAATCATCACCTAAGCTTCAAATTCATTAAAATCCATTAACAATTGTAGAATGCTTACCAATTTCAAAATTTCCACCTTCCATTTTATGTATTATAACCAATTTCATCAATTGCTTCTACCCTATCACGGAACAAACTACAGTTAAAGCCATAGGTTAGAAGAGACAACTTGTCACTTAAGGTAAATTCAATCTTATTACCACAGTTTCTCAAGTTCCTAAAAAAAGGATTATGACTCCACCAAAGACGAAGCCTTTGTTTTTTATGCTGTTTGTTTTGCAGCCTTTGTTTTCTACTTACAACAACAATCTACTAATCAAAACTCAATGTAAGAGGGAAGAGATGGGGGAGAGGAGAACTCACAGGAAGAGGAGAAGAGAGTCATATTATAATTTATCAAGATAAGTAATGCCACTGCAGGCTTTATAACAAATAAAGCCATGCTTAATAGTGATGATAGAACACTTGGATTTGTTGTTGTTGCTGTTGTTGTGAAGACCTTAGAAGCACTTGGATGTTTTAATTATGGCTCCAGAGGAAATTATTAACAGAACAAAATTTTCTCTTGATTTTTTTAATTTTGATTTTTCTTGAGATGACACTGATTTTCTCAAAAATACTTAAGAATTCTAAAATAAAAGGTCAAAATGCCTTCTTCAGGACAAACTCGTTCTCTTCCTAATGATTCTTCTGGAACTACAGTCAATGAAATCATCAGAACACAACAGGGTTTGTTCTGGGACAGACTTTTTGATTTCTCGTTCCAAGACAAAGAAAGACTGAAAAGTCCAAACCAAGAAATTTCTCTCCAAAACAAATTCTGTATTGTTTGAATGATCCTCTTCTTAGCTGCATGAAAATGCTTGATGGAGTTATTTTTAACTGGGGACAGAACATTCATTCTGGAAAGTGTTCACATCCTAACATTATAATGAGTAGAAATATGTGCTGTTGATGAAAGACTATGCCAACCTCAGTATCCCTGTCAACATTTAGATGCAGGTTCATCTACAGACAATCAATTTTATGGTTTTCAGGAATTAAAGACTTCTAGGTGCAGTGAAGTCTTGACTCTGGATCACCTATATCAATGCTACATGACACAAGGTGCTTGACAACATTTAGATATAGATATTTTTTGCCCATGCCCAATGTTTCTTTATAAATAATGACCCTGGATGATAATAAATGGATTCTATTTCTTTTATTATTACTTTCATTAAACAATGTTAGTTCTGCAGAATGATTAAAAAACAACTACTAATCTTTGAATATGTACATCCTATTAACTGATATAAACTGATCCAGTCTTTCATTATAACAGTGAATTTTCAGGTTGCACAAAATATGTAATTTATATTCCAAATACAACAATCACTTCTGTGTTAATCAGTCAGTACAATTCACAGATTCCTACTACATAGCTGCATGTACTTATAGAATTTTAGCACAAAAGCCAGTACAAATAGGAAGTATGCTCAGTTTAATGATTAGTGGGGCACTAGAGGTGGGTGTCGGCGATGGGTATCCTCCGGAGCTCTACGATCTGGGAGTCGGTCAAGGTGCCTCCCTCCTGGCTGCCTTGGCCAGATTCATTGTCACTGATACTGAGACCAGCACCTGCAGCAGAAACAGAACAAACACAAAACCCCAAACTATTAGTGCAGTGAATTCTTAAGGATCAAGTTACAGTATTCCAAACATGTTTATTTCTATTACATTAGTAAAATACGAGCTATACATTTAGAATAGATATTATTAGTACCTAACAATTATGGAACTATATGTTACATTTCCTTTGGTAGTTTTTTAAAGGAGAAATTAATTTCTAAAGATATACATTTCGGGTTCTCACTCTTTGTTAGTTTCCACATGTTGGACAGGTGTAACCTACTACCAAAAACAGCTTTTGTCAATTGAGGGCTCATCAAAATAGAAAATCAGGCAAGTTATTAGACTTTTTCAGCAAGGGGGTAGGATTTACTGTTATAAAACATATAACCTCCCACCCCACATGCACTGAGTCTGGTAGGTCCGTCACTGAGACTCAGTGTTAGGCAGTGATTTGAGAACACCTGGAGTCGTATCAGATGACACTGGCTCTGAATGATTCAGATCTGATCTCAGGATAAAAATAATTGCGTAACACAGTGTCAAACCGGATCCGCACCGGGATCCCACGATGCTTGCTGCTGTTAACTGCAGACAGCGCCCAGAATTTCTGTTTTGAGGAAGCTTCACTGTTCGCTACTTTTTACACAACTCAGAATTCAGAAAACTTAAAACTATGCTAGAGTAACACCTTGTTTTCTTCTGCAGTAACGTGCAGAGGAACACATAAACTCTTACACTCGTTCCCGCTGTGTGTGTGTGTGTGTGAGAGACAGAGAGAGAGAGAGAGAGAGAGAGAGAGAGAGAGAGAGAGAGAGAGAGAGAGAGAGAAACGTGGATGTGGTCACCCGGCATGCAGGATGAATCACCAGAGGTTACAGCTCCCAGCTCCTCCCCCTCTGCTGGCCACTAGACTCTGCAAACAGGAGGAAAGTGAAAAACCAGTTGCCTAGGCAGCTGAGACTTCCCTTCCTGTCTGAGACTGAGGAAAGACGATTCTGCAGAGTTGGCAGCTATAGGAAGATGGTGAACTAGCTTCATCTTAGCCTATTTGGAGATGCAAGCAGGAGCCTACTAACGATCTCCTTCTAGCCAGGCCCTCCCTCTTCTGGGCCTCTGCCCTTCACGCCCTCTCTGTTAAAGGCTACTGTTGGAACTCCATTTTTTCCCTTTGCTTCTGTGACATAAAACGTGCCCATCTCAAGCTCTGATCTACTGACTCTTTCCAGGGCTCTTCGGCTTTTTCTTGCATCTCCTCCTGCTGTCTTGCCCGTGGGGGCCTTGTCTTCAGCCCTGCCTCAAGGCCTGCAGGATCTATCCCACCCTTGACTGAGCTCCAGCCTAAAATCTCACTAGTATTTATTTCCAAGCTCGGGGCATAGAGCCACTGGTCACTCCCTTTTCACACCACATAACACCATCCCTGGCGCCTCTGCTTGGGATGCCCCTCTCATTCCCCATCCCTTTAATCTGGCTGTCTCGACTCTTCCTACAAATATCTTCCCAGGTATCGCCTCTGCTACCCATGGAGACATGATAATTCTCTTTTAATAATTCTGACTGCCCCAATGGAATGCCTTTCCTGTCTTCCTGTTTCCTAGCTCATAGGACAGTGCCCAGTACACTGTGGGTGTTCAGTAAATGTTCGTTGAATGTATTAATAAACTAAGCTCTGCATCTAGTGTGTGAAAATGCCTCTTCCATCCTGTCACTCATTTTGTTCCTCTGGTCCATTGTACATGCCACTGCCCTTCCTTCTCAAGAGCAAACATCAGTTCCTATTGCCAGTTGCACCAAGTCTGGAACCCTTTGCATTAGCTTTCAAAACACCCCATAATCTGGCTCTACCCTACCGAATAGATGTATTCCAACCTTCGCCCATTGGAGAGATTTCTCTGACACCGATCAGGTCTCCTGACTGGTGCTGAATGTATCATGTTAATTCCAGTCTGAGTCTTCCTGTCGATCCATCAAGGCCCATCTCCACACCCTTTCACAAACACTTCTTTTACCATTCCTTCAAAACATGGAGCTGGATGCAATATTTGAAAAGAAAGGTCCTTATAACTGACAAAATTATTAATTACATCTCTTTTACTCTCTCAAATTGCCCTGGTTCGAATGATAAATTTAATTGTAGTCCTATATAAAATGTATTTGTGAAGTTGTGAAGCAAAGGTTTAACAAACACCTGTGAACTCTTTCCTCAGGTTAAGAACTAGAATATTTCCAATGACAATGTTCTTCTAAAAACTTAGTAAGTTGCTGAAATTTAAAAATTAAATTCATTTAACATTTTTAGAAAATCAGATTTCTGATTTCTCTTGAAAAACAAAAAAAAACAGACAACACTGGGCCTGCATTTCTGCATTGCAAAAACAAAAAAAAGAGCAAAAACATGGACCAGGTGCTCCCCTCCAGTTTTCACCCAGCCCTCTTGAATCTCTATATTTGCCTGGCCCCTGAAGGTAATGATTGCATCTACCTCTAGGCCTTAAAAGGACAAAGGGCCCGTGCTTCTCTGCCAGGAGAACTTGGGAACAATACAGTTTGAAAGAAACTCAGGGAATCGGTAGGATAGTGGCTGCTCCATATGGAGAAGGTGAGTGAGGCCCTGAGCCCTGTAGGAGCAGGATCCAGGCAAGGAGGAGCTAAAGGGCTAAGTAACAGAGTTGTCTGGTATGGAGCAACTAGGGAGAAACAGAGAGGACCCCACCATTAGCCTCAGGGCAGAGTGGGGTTGACTGATTTCACTAGTACCAAAACCCCATGAGTTCAGCTTCTGCCAGCTCTACATCTCACTAGGGATGCCATAATAAAGCATTTGGTGACCACAGAGACAAAGCGCACTAGAAAGACAAGTTCTATACTGAAAGCATGCTGAGCTTGTTTAGCAGCCCAGGGTGCTTAGAGATGCAAGCAAGTTCTAGACCCAGCCTCCTCTTGAGTCACTGCATCTGCCTGACCTGCCTCCTCCTCCTTCCCAATTCCTTCCCTGTTCAAAGAAATGCACAAATACCCAAATGCTGAGACTCAGAAAGGGCAGATGCTACACACAAGTATAACATGGCGGAACTGGGAGCACAGACCAGGGGCTCCTATCTCTTTGCAATTCTTTAAATTGTCTAAAAGGGTACTTTGCAGTAAGTATCCTTACTTTCTGAAAGGTATTTTCATGCTTGAATTTTAAACCAAAAATTCAAGAAAAATCCATCAACTGTGATAACGGTGACTCTTTCCTTTCAGACAGAACATGCACTCTTAAAGGAACTAAAAGTAATAATTTATTAATACATTCATCATGGGCCTCTCCTTTTCTCACCATTTTAACATGCTTTGGTTAGGAAAAGGGTGATTATTAGTCCTGTTTTACAGGTGCAGGGACTGCGAGAGAATCAGAGGTGTTCACTGAGTTGCCCACATCACACGGCAGGGAAGTTCACAGAGTGAAGATGTCCACTCGGCTCTGATCCCAAATGTAGGGTGTTTTCTTCTACATCATATTGCTTCTTTGCTGGCAGCTCTAATCATGTTACTTCCTTATCCTCAAAGTTTCAAGTGTTCAACTTTGTCTACAGAATAAGTTTCAAGCTCCGTGGCATGTATTCAAGCTCTCCCCAGCTCCCACTAGCCTCAGCGCCATCCTACCTCCCTCAATAGTCATGGCACAGCGAACACCAGGTGTTATAGAATATATGATGAACAAATTTGAAATTGTTTGTAAGCATAGCCATGCATTGAACCCAACAAATAATTCATACTATGTACTGAACCTAAACTCTGCCACATACTATGATAGATGCTTTACGTAGACAATCTCCAAGCCTCATGAAAACTTACAGGCTAATTATAATAAGCCTTATTTGCTAAGTGAGGAAATGGAAAGGCTGAGTCCCATGCTGAAGTCACACAGCTAGTAGGCTGCAGAACTGGGATACCAGTGCAGGGCTACTCTGACCCTCTGGTCCATTCTTAGTTTATATGGCCTTTTACAATGTGACAATGATATAAGGGTCATACTCCTTCTTTTTCCTAGGAAAAAAAAATTCAAAATCCTTCAAAATTCCACTTTTCCACTTTGATTACTACCTAACTTTGTTTAGCACACTGGGCTGCAGAAGTTCCTGAAGTTAAATCAGTCATCGTGTTTGCTGTGATGTCTCTCAAAGAGAAATTTATTGATGAGTTCTTTGAGGAGTTTGAGTATTTTGGGCCTTGATTCTGAATGTTTTCCTTTGTGTCCAAGGACTTGCCATTTATTTTCTTCTAACTGACAAATAAATCATTTCTAGGTTTCTGATAGGGAAATGTTCACCATGACATTTGTGTCATTGGCCTGAGGGTAAAACCAGGAAGCCAAGGGACAGGGGGTAGTGGGGAATCAGGTTCGTCACTCTGGGAGAAGCCCCTGTGAAGAAAGACCCTATTTCTGAGCCCAGTGTGCTCCAAGCTGGACATTTCCAGGAATCTTGTCAGCTTTGGATCAACATATTAGTAAAAATGCAATATTCAAGACACTTCTTGTTAGGAATGTATTTAATAAATAGAGTGCATTCCCTTCATCCTGCCCTCATCCTCTGTGTAGACTGAGTCTCTCTTCTAGCTAGCTAGGTACCTTCATACCTTCTCCTCTTCCCTAAAACAGAGGCTGTCCCAGGATGACTGTTCCCATTCTCCTAAAGTCCTGGTGGAGGATACTGACAATACATCAGACAGTTCTATTAAAAAAAAAAACAAAAACTAATACTAACTGTGACACCACTAGTCTAGAACTGAGTGACTCATTTGCCTGTGGAAAGGCTAATGCACTTCAAGAACAATTAACTGAAGGACATTATGTCCTCTTTTCTCATAGTGAAATGTGGATTTCTCATAGAATGACACATTATTTTTAAAAATTGAAAGCATCAATAGCGTTTTCATTTCTTTTTAAAGACAATTCAATATAGTTAAAATTCAGATGGAAAAAAAAGTCCATGACTGGCTTTGAGGCTATTTAAAGTCAAACT